GATGAGTTCCCTGCTGATGGGGTGAGGAGTGCGCTGCCCTCTGGAAGCAGGGGTGGGGGAGGCGGGCGGACTGAGAGGTTTAGAAGGAAGCTGGGGAGGGGCTCATCTCCAGCCTCTGCCTCCAGTGGGGTGCAAGCAGGCCTGATAGTGTGAGCAGCCCCTTTTCTCAGTAGGAGATGGTGGCGCAGGAGGACTGCAGGAAGGAGCTGGAGGCTCAGGAAAAGCACAAGAAGCTCTTCGAGGGCCTGAAGTTCTTCCTGAACCGTGAGGTGCCCCGGGAGGCCCTGGCCTTTGTCATCAGGTGGGGAGCCTGACAGCACTGGCTCTGCCATACTGGGCTGGGTCCTGCCCTAGACAGTGCAACCCTGGACGCCCATCAGTAACAATGGGCTGGCGTCAGTATCCGCTGCTTAGGGCTGTTGTGAGGATTCAGCAAAATGGGTGTGGAAAACTCAGTACACCCCAAGCACATGGAAAGCACCCATTAGAGGGCAGCTGGCATCACTTCCTCACCAGCTTAGGGCAGAAGGTCTCCCCTGGGCCAGCACTGGAGGCGTCGGCCAATTGGGGGGGGGGTTCCTGGGGTGGGGAGGGGACAGGTGTGTCCTAGGAGCGTGAGCTTGTGGGCCAGTGGGTTCCAGGGTGGGCACCTCATGCCTCAGTACCCTCATGGGCTCCCCCTGTGCCTGTAGGAGTTTTGGAGGGAACGTGTCCTGGGACAAATCTCTGTGCATTGGGGCCACATATGACGTCACAGACTCTGGTATCACCCACCAGATTGTCGACCGGCCTGGGCAACAGACCCCTGTCATCGGCAGGTAGGCCCCCAAGGCCCTCGTCTTCCTCCGCCTGTTTGGGTTTCTGGGGGCGGAGGTCTGTCTCCAGGCCCCTGCAGATGCCGTGGGGTCTCGGGTGGCCCCACGGCTTTCTCTGCCTTCACCCTGCGCAGGTACTACGTGCAGCCCCAATGGGTGTTTGACTCCGTGAACGCCCGGCTCCTCCTCCCTGTGGCAGACTACTTTCCCGGGGTGCAGCTGCCTCCACACCTCTCGCCCTTCGTGTCAGAGAAGGAAGGCGATTACGTGCCCCCTGAGAAGCTGAAGTTGCTGGCCCTGCAGCGGGGGGAGCACCCAGGTGAGTGAAAGGGAGCTAGGCAGGGCGGGGTGGGCAGGCTCCTCCAGGCTGGCCTCGGCTCCGGGGGCTTCACCTGGCTGTTTCCCTTCTTGGCTACAAAGGTGGCAAGCTCCAGAGAACAGGGCAGCAGGGGTACAAAGCCCTTTAAACTCTCATTGGAGTTATGTGGTTTAGGAGGAGGAAACGTTTGTGTCTTATAATCTAGTGTTACTTGATGTTCAGAGTGACTGAGCAGAATGGTCTGGAAGTTCCACGGGAAGCAGCAGAGCTGAGGGGTTGGGGGCCTGGAGTTTGCTCTGAAGGCAGCTGGGCCTGTGGGGGAGGTGCCAGAGGGCCTGTGGTCGGGATGGCTCTGCTCTGCCTTTGGAACGTCTGTGCCAAAGAGGGTGGTGCCTGGTGCCAGTTCTCACGCCGCAAGGGGAAGAGCAGGCTCCCGGGTGTTCGGAATCCTTGGCTGTTTGTAGGAAATTTGAATGAATCTGAAGAGGAGGATGAGGAGGAAGATGATGAAGGCGATGGTGATGAAGAGGGAGGAAAAGAAGAGGAGGAGGAAGAAGACAAGGAGGCTGGTTCGGAAAGGGAGGAAGAGGCCCGACTGACGGCCCCGGAGGAGCCGAGGATGGAGGGGAAGGTACCGGGGAGTTGATTGGGTTCTCGGCCTGGGAAGCAGCCCCACTGGCCACCTTGGTGCCAGAAGGGTTGGAGCCAGGGGGCTGGAGGTAGAGGGTGGGGGTCAACCTGCATCCACAAGTGTCCCCCCGGTGTCCCCAGAAGCCCAAGGTGATGGTGGGCACAGTGAAGCTGGAGGATAAGCAGCGGCTGGCCCAGGAGGAGGACAGTGAGGCCAAGCGCCTGGCCATAATGATGATGAAGAAGCGGGAGAAGTACCTTTACAACAAGATCATGTTTGGCAAGAGGCGCAAAATCCGCGAGGTGAGTCTCCCCGCCGCCTGAGGCTCCAGCTGGGGCCGCACAGCTGAGCTTCGAGGCCGGCTGGCTCTCCCGGGCAGTCTCTGGGCCCTTTTCTAGCATTTTTCTGACGTTGTCTGCCTGCCCTGGGCATCTTGGTGTCAGTCTCCTTCCTGCACCCAGTGGTTTCTGAGTCTGCTGGGATTGGGGGCCAGAGCTCCCAGACTCGGGGCCTGCACTTCACAGAAGTGCGTGAAGCTGGAGGGACTGTGGGAGGTTTTGGTTCAGCTTCTGTTTTGTTTCCTCTCATTCACAGAGCCACATATGCTCAATATAAAAGAAAAAAAAATTTTAAGAGAGTTCTGTGCATGCCAGAACTCTGTAATGGACGCAAAAGTGGCTCACAGTCTTGCCCTTGGGGTGATCTGTAGTAATAGCCCCCCAGATTTCTTTTGTGCATGTAATATCACAGATGTTATTTGGGGGGCATTGTGCTACACATACAGGCAGAACTTGTTTTATGGCACTTAGCTTTATTGCACTTCACAGATAACGAGTTTGTTACAGATGGAAGGTTTGTGGCAACTCTGTGTTGAGCAAGTCTGTTTAGCACCATTTTTCCAGTATTTGCTCATTTCATGTCTCTGTGTCACCAGTGATGGTAATTCTCACAATATTTCTGACTTTTTCATTATTATTATATTTGTTATGGTGATTTGTGATCAATGTTCTTTGATGTTACTGTCTCAAAAAGACTAATTCACTGAAGGCTCAGACAATGGTTAGGTTTTTTTAGCAATAACGTATTTTTTATTAACGTATATGCACGGTGTTTTTAGACATAATGCCATTGCCACTTAACAGACAACAGCATAGCATAAACAACTTTTATATGCCCTGGGAAACCAAAAAATTCATGTGACTCCTTTTATTGCAGTATTCGCTTTATTGGGGTGGTGGGTGGAATCCAACCAACAATATCTCCGAGGTCTGCCTGTAGGTTGTTCTGCTGTGTGTTTGTTATTTAACCATAGCATGAACTGTCCGTGGCATCATACAGTGCATGGCCTGTTCCCTGCTGACAGGATTAGGTTGTCTCCCTTTTATAGTCGTTCTCAGAGAACAGTCCTGAGCACCTCTCTTCCTACCTCCAAGTGTCTCTGCAGGGTAAATTCTTAGGAGTGTAATTGCCAGGTTGAAAGGCCACCTGTTTTGGAATAGATTGTGCCACATGGCCCCGGGGAAGGACTGTTCCAGGTCGACCCCACCCTAGCAGCTCCTGTTGAAGGTTTGAATGGCCCCCAGCTTTCCCAGGTGAAGGGGGTCAGTGGGGCAGTTGCCTCCAGCTCTGGGAGCCTGCAATCCTCCTGACTTGCTGTGGGCCCATAACTTCACAGAGTCATAAAGGCAGGGGTGAAGGCACGGTTCCTCACCTGAGGCTCTTCAGAGGGGTTTGCTTTTTCCCCTTGGTAATTTGCCTGTTGGCTTTCCTGGAAGCTCTGCTTTTAAGGGGTGGCCTTGAGTGGCAGAAGGGGGAGTCCCCTTCCCTGACCTCTCCCCATCACAGCTTAATCCTCCCCTTCTTCCTCACAGGCCAACAAACTGGTGGAGAAGCGGAAAGCCCACGATGAGGCTGCAAGGTCTGAGAAGAAGGCCAAGAAGGCAAGGCCGGAGTGAGTGGCGGCAGCCTCGCCATGGGCGAGGCCAGCTCCCGGAGGCTGGACTTGGCACAGGGACCCAGAGGGCCTGGGCTTGGTGACAGACCAGGGTCTTTGCTGTTTTCATCCTTCTCCTCCCTCTGCCGGCCCTGGCCTCCTCTCACGATCTCTGGCTGGGCCCATGGACAGCCCCAGCCTCGCTCGGATGGAGCTCCCTGCTGGTGGCTGGGCAGAGGAGAGGCCTCTGCCTCTCCTTGACCCCGCGATGCTCCCAGGGGTCAAGCGACACAGGGGGCGGGACCCGACCAGCCCCTCACTGACTGTTCCCATTCACCCTAGCTTTCTGCATCCCCCCCACCCACATGTACGGTTGGACCCACGATTTTCCCAGTGCTCTGATGGAGGGTAGGGTGGGGAAGCATTTGTTATTAAATGGCTGGAGTTCTGCAGCCAGTTGAATTCTGTGTTCATGAGCCTTTCTGGGGTTGGAGAAGGGCCACCTAGTGCTCCAGGTTGGCCAGCCCTCAGTACTCACTGAGAGGAGCCAGTCACTGCTCGGAGCTTTCTGGCTGCCTGTGAATCCCTTGGGGTCCAAGGGTGCCAGAAGGTAGGCGCACATTCCAGCCCAGAGACTTTTCCGCTGTGAACCTGCTTCCTCATGTGTAAGCTAAGCGTAGAAATTCTGGAGCCTTCCTCCCAGGCATGTGTGAAGGAAGGGTTCAGTGATAATGTTTCAGAGAGTCACTAGTGTCAGGTGTCTGGTAGGTAAAGTACTCAGCAAACACCAACCGTGATTGTCATCACTTCCTGCTGGAGTCAGCTCAGGAGGTAAAAGCCAGTGTCTGAAGGATCTATGGGGCCTGAGTTGAGGGTACCTAGCTTTACCTTGTGGGCTTACGGGCAGAGCTGCCAAGGACCCCCAATGTGGCTTTGCCAGCAGCTGGACTTGTAACCCTGGCCGGGCCATCCTTATAGCTTCCCACTTGACCCTGGCAGTTCCCTTGCAGAGGCCCAAGGGGGCATGCCCTTGCCTGGACTGCCAGTGCCTCATGGCAGAGCCAGGGCCACTCAACCCCTCCTAGGTCAGGCAGGGAGATTCTGAATGCCCCCCCATGGTGCTCCTGTGGGCCGAGTGCTCTCAGGAGCAGGGCCCAGGATGGGGAAGTATGGGTTTGGAACTGGGCTCCTCCTTTGCCAAGTCTAGGCATTTGAGGGCCTTGGCCCTCTGCCCCTCACTCTGTAGAAGTGCCCAGGCTCTATAGAACTCTTTTGGGCAGTGTCTTCAGACCCAGCCTGTGCAGGGGGAAGGCAAGAGCTTGGGCAGGCTCTCTGGCTGAGGGAGTGGAGAACCTAGGGCTCTTATCTCACTGGGCCTCACCATGGGTGTGCTGTGGGTGTCAGAGAGAGATTATGTTCCACTCTGACATGCTTCATGGTGTGTGTGGGGAGGTGGTCTTCTAGAGTCAGGGACAGGGTCAGGGCCTCTGGAGCCAAAGTCTGCAGCCCTAGGGGATAACTTGGTCCTGCCTGGGTGCATGTACATCCCAGGGCCATGGCAGGGGTGCCAGGGCAAGGCCAGAAAGCAGGCCCATCAAATATGGAAAAATCCTGGACTTCCCTGGTGGCACAGTGGTTAAGGATCTGCCTGCCAATGCAGGTAACACGGGTTCGAGCCCTGGTCCGGGAAGATCCCACATGCTGTGGAGTAACTGAGCCTGTGCGCCACAACTACTGAGCCTGCACTCTAGAGCCCACGAGCCACAACTACTGAGCCCTCATACCACAACTACTGAAGCCCACGTGCCTAGAGCCTGTGCTCCGTTAGAAGCCACCGCAATGAGAAGTCCGCCCACTGCAATGAAGAGTAGACCCTGCTCACCGCAACTAGAGAAAGCCTGCGCGCAGCAATGAAAACCCAACACAGCCAAAAATAAATAGGATAAAAAAAAGATATGGAAAAATCCCTGGCAGTCATGCTAATGTGGAATTTTCCCCATTCCGGAGTCGCCCAGTAATGGCAGGGGCAGTGGGGCTCTGACATGGCTTATGCCCCACTGGGTGGCCAGCTGGTTTTGCACTGCCCACAGCTGGAGCTGAGCATTCTCAGCTCCAGGCAGGCACTAATCCCCATCCTTGGGCCTGCTCCTCTGGGGTGAAGGAGGGAAGCCTGGGACTGGAAAGAGATCCTGAATGCGGCACCTGCATCCTGATGGCACTGTGCTCAGTGATGGGCACCTTGGAGAGGGGGGCGTCAGCTGAGACCTCCCAGTGGTATGACCACCCCTACTCCTCTCATCCACATTTCAGATGCTAAAAATGTGTCCCCAGTTTGCACTGACTTTAGAGCCACAGGCCATATCTTCCAATGAATAAAGTTAAGCAGCTAGTGTAGCCTCCTTCTTTTTCCCAGAGCTGGGTTGCCCTCACCATCACCACGCCACCCCGTTTCCCAGGCACCCTCGAATCCTCTACGGAGCTGGGAGCTCGGCCGAGCCTCAGGGTCCGGCGGCAGGACAATGGCCCCGTTGGCACATCCGAGACAAACGCGCCTTGTTGGGCCAGCGGCGGGGGCGCGACGCTGCGCCCCGGCGCGCTGAATGCGGCTTCTGTGCGACCCGGGCAGGCGCAGAGGGGAGGGGGGGGGGCCGGGGCCCGGGGCGCCCATTGGCCGCGGCGCCGGGGGGGCCGGGCCAGGCTGGCGGCAGCACCTGGCCGGAGAGGTTGCGGCGGCGGCGGGGGCGGGAACATGGTCCAGGCCCGGCCGAGCAGGGGGACCCGGCGGGTCCGCCCCGCCGCCTTAGTAAGCGCCCGGGCGGCGCGGCCCGGGGCTGACCCTGCACGCCAAGGCCGAGAAGGACGGGGACAAGGTACGTCCTGGGGGCCCAGCACCCATCACCAGATTGCGCCTTGCCTCAGTCTACCCCCTGGGGTCCAAGCCCGCGCTGCCCACGCCCGGAACTGGGGCTGCGCACGCCAGACTCTAGACCTGAGTGGTGAGGGAGTGCTACACTACCGCTTCGGGGCTCACGCACCGGTCCTAGCTGACAGAGGGTGGGAAGGCTGGGCCCTGCGGCGGGGCGGGGAGGGGGGTGGCGCAAGTTGGTGCTCGCCCGGCCCTTGGTTTCTTCCCCACGGTCCCATTTCCAGGGTTTACCCAGTCCTTGGTCTTGGGGCGGGTGGGGCTGGAGCTGGGCTGGAACTGGGAGTTCATTAATCATTAATCTTGGACATGGTGCCAGAGCCCTGGGGGAGGAGGGGCAGGGATCTTCCCTCTTCCCACCAGCCCTCCCCAGAAGAGGGGCCGTCAGAGCAGGGGCTGGGCATCAGCATAAAAGATGGATCCCCTCTGCCTGGGGAAGGCCCTGTCCTCTACCACTTAGGGGGCAAGGCCACCAAGGAAAGGCTTGTGGGAGTGGGATAAACTCTGGTATCCAGGAATGGCCCCGAAGGTAACTCAACAGTTCCCTTGTTCCCTGGACCAGTGCTCAGAAAGGGGGTCCAGCTTGGTCTGCCCCCATTGGTGCCAAGCCAAGGTGCTTTGGTAACATTACAGAACAAGGCTGTGGTTCCTTCCCAGCGGGGACCCCCTCCCACCTGCCTAGAGCAGGAGAGGTGATGGGCACACATCTGGCTGCAGTAACCCACACCAGTGGGAGGGAGGGAGAGAGGGTGGCAGACCTGACACCTGATCACCTGGGTTGCCCCGGTGATAGGTGCCATGGAAATCCTCAGGAGGACAGTCCAGTTGGGAGAATCCAACCTCTGCCTTTACAAAGAGGGTGACCTAAGGCCCAGAGAGGGTAAGGCCATGGGCAGGCCTGAGCTGGAGCAGACCATGTGCTGCTGCATTGCCCCTTGCCCCTCAGAGGAGGCATTGTTACTAACCCTATTATCCAAGGGGGGAAACTGAGTTTCAGGGGGATTCAGTGACTTGCCCAAGGTCACATAGTTCAAATGTGGCTAAACTGACTCCAAATTCAGTGACTTGCCCGAGTCCCCATTTCAGGACCCCAGCCTTGCTCAAGATCTGTCTGCCCTTCTGGGGTCCTAGCCTCTTAGACCTTCCATGGCTGCCCCCAGCCCCCAGCTCAGGACCTCTCCCCCCTTGCCTCCCTAGCTCCCAGCTCTGCCTGACACTCGGGGGGTGGGCAGGCTGCTACCCTGGGAGCAGAGACAACAGAGCCCTGTTCCCAGCTGCCACCTCGGACTGCTTCCTCCCTGCTTCTCACTTGGGCAGAGCCCTGCCTGAAGGAATCCCTGTGGACAAAGAAGCACGCCTGCCTCCTGTGCATCCCCTTGTCTGATGCGCATGGGTCTGATATTTGAGGGCATGGGTCCAATCCAGCAAGAGAGGAGTGTGTCCTTCCCTCTAGGCTTTAAGGGACTAATTGTGTCACCCTGGTGAAAGAGGCAATGATTAACCTGGGAGAACGATACACAGATGTTGGAATTCCAGGCATGGCAACAGGCTTGTGAAGGGCTTCTTGCTTCCCTCAGGCTGAGCAAGGAATATGGACCATCCCTGTTTAGGAGCCCTGTCCTACTCCAGACAGGGAGGGCAGGATGGAGCAGAGCGCCCATGGGGGTCAGTGGGCTGGGGCCAGGGGAATAGCCAGGTGAGGAGTGATGGTTCAGAGGAAGTGGGGTTCCAGAGGAAACATGCTTTCCTACCTGCCAGCCCCAGGGCAGAGATGGGGTGTGGCTTGGGCACCCCCAGATCTGATCCCAGACTTGCCATGGGACCCTAGGCAAGTCCTTCTCTCTCTGTGCCTTGATTTTCTCAGATGTGAAATCTGGGAGTCAGGGACCTTGGGTCTGGAGCATGGGAAGTATAGGTGCTTGGATGGGGAGGGTGGCCCTCCAGGAGATGGTACTGGCGGGTCCTGCCTCTCCTGCCAGGTGGATCTAGAAGGGTCATGATAATAACCCGAGGTGTGTGCAAAGGGCTCCTTATGCCTCATCCCGTTTGATCCTCACAGCAAACCCGTGAGAAGGTTGAAGTATCCCCATTTGTTAGGA